GCGACCGGGCCGCCGAGGCCATTGAAACGCAGGCAGAGGATACATGGCTTGTTTTTTAACCTTTACTTGTCTGCAAACATCTTTTCTGCAGCTCACTGGACACACTGCACAGAGGCAGTCGATGATTAAGTGCCTTGCCTAAAGGCAACTTCAGCAGGACCCAACAGGCAGGGAAACCGCTGAAATATAAGATAAGAAGACAGCCCTCCATTATTGATATGTCGAGGCATAAGAAATCTGTCCAGCTGATGTCAACCACACTGGACACATACTAAAATACTAGAGGATTGAAACTAGAGCCTTAATTCCATCTGGTATTTCAGAAATACTTTCCATAGAAATCTGTCTCCTGATGTGCAGATGAACCTGAAACGACTGCAAAGGGAATTTACCTCAATGTTACCTTCACATCTTTTGTTTCAGGGCGGGCTGTGATTGGCTCGTTGCATTGCTGCAGTGCATCATAAAGGAAAGAAACACAAGTGCCTCAGTGTAAACCAACAATGTCTTCTTTTCAAACAGGAGTCACAGTGAAGATTGTGGAATCGGATTTCATAAAAACAGATACTCCACCACAGGTTCAAGTGGCGCCAAATTTCACATGCTCATAAATATCGGTCCCCTGAACGCGAGGAACCCTGCGACGCTGGTTAGTTGAAGCTGCACGTGTCACGGTGATCCATCTGTGAGGGTCTGCATATTCTGGTTTATAAACAAACCAACAAACAGACAGACACAACCTCGGAGGTAATTAAAAAGGAACTGTTCTAATTAAAGTGACAATTTATTAATTACACACGTGAGACAATACAACACGAGCTGGCTTGTTGCACGTGGGGTTTGGAAAATGTGAGAGTGAAGAGATGGGAGTTAGTCAGATTTTTAAATGATCGAGGCGACTGTTGTTTAATGTTAACGTTGATGCACTTCACAGAATAATAGAGCATCGTGTAGCTGCTGCGTGTGTTCTGCCATATTTATATAGGCCTCAACCTCCTGGTGTAATTTTCTTCACAATGATAACAAGATCGCAGGCCTCACTGTCTCCTCCCTGTGTGAATCTGGACTCAAACCAGTTTCTTGTCCCTGTTTTAGAAGCTGCAACAATAAATCCTATAGGAAAACTATAAAAACTGCAGACGAGCTGATGTTTTATCATTAAGAAGAACATAAGGTTAAGTAATGCTGGGTTTTTCATGAGCTCCAAAGCAAAACAACGTCAATCTCTTGAATAAATCTCCCGCTCAAGGTCACCACTTGTGCCAGAGTCAATAAATGATATGCAAAGATTATGAAGAAACACATTTAATCGCTCCAGAGCCAAGATCTGGTGGAGAGGCGATAATTCACCATTAAAAAGGGAAATCAGACGGCAGCGTTATTCACGTTTTGGCTTTTATAGCAAGAACAGGATATTAAAGCCATAAAAGTCACCTTACTGCAAAATTCATTGTTCCTAATCAATGACTTTATTAATGTGAATGAGAATAATAATGAGAATTATTACAGGCCTGGAAGTAAAATCTTACTTAATGCCCTAATTAATTAATATTTATAGATCTACTTTCGTACTCACACACACACACACACAAGTGCACATGCAAGTTTTTTTTAACCTTATCACATGAATTCATTACATCAACAGATGACTGCTAAGCCTCGGAGAGTAAAGTCTGTGCAGCTGACCTGGTGCTTGTTGTCGATGGTGTCATTAGGACGTTTGAGGCAAAATGCATCAAAGGCTGATCTGACAGCAGCTCGGCCGTCCAACTGACGAGGTCGGCGGCTGACGTGATCTTGGCGATGTGGCGTTCCGGCGTGACATGTCATCATTTCAATGTCGGTTTCAATTTTTGTTCTCCTCTAATCTGAGGAGCTGGACACTGATCCCATCTGAGCAGAGATAACACTGATCTCCAGGATAAAACCGAGCAGCTGAAAAGACTCCTCTGGCACACCGACGAACGTTTCAGACTGATGTGTGTCGGGATTATTTCGAAGATAAACGTCTCTACTTCATGCTGTGCAGTTTGTTTAAAGCTTAAATGTTTGCTGTGGTGCGAAAAACTTCCTCCGGCGTCTGTTAACGTTGACTGTGCATCAATATCCCTTTTTATTAGATGTTAAGTTGAGCTTCTTGTGCATTTTCACTTTCAATTTCATCACATCGCCTCCAGAGCATCTACCCAACTTCATTTCCTACAAAATATCCTCCTGTACTTATACTCGATTAACAATATCATGGTTTATTTCTTCCGATCTTTATTCAAGATCGTTTTGAGAGCAAGACTTGATTCATTTCATGTTCAGATGCTTGCACTCGAAAAGCTTCAGCTCTGTTGTGGGTGTGTCAGTTGAGTGTGTAAATAACATTGTGCAAGGGGGGGGGGGGCGGGGCTGAGCGCATGAACTCTGTTAAAGTAACCGGAGCAAAGCAAAAACATACATATTGAGTGAAAGCATTAAAAAATGTGGATGTGAAATCAATAACTCCTGCTCTGAAACTAAAAGACTGAACTCTTATAGAGAATAATAGAAAAGGACAGACGGGACAGTTGGACGTACAAAACAAAGGAGGCGGCTGAGACGCTCGGTCGTGATTAGGGATGTGGTTTAACTCACATATGGAAAAGGTCTGACCTCCACCTGACTCTGATCTATGTGCTTTGAGTTTCCTAAACACAACCACACAAGTGATTATCAGGCTTTAGTAGTTTCAGCAGAAATGTTTCCTCTGTGTCTTCATAAAAAATAATCCACTTGGCATTTCATTTCCGTTTTTTTTTTCCGCTCATGCAAATTAGTTTTAGCCGAGAGTAACTTCTGTGAGACGGACTCGTCTTGTGCAGACATGCTCGTACGGCTTTTACAACCGTGCTACACTTTTCATTTGCACACAGAATCCCTCCTCCGCGAACCGTCCAAGCATTTCAGTCCCCACACTTAAGGGCTCAGTTTCTATCCAGGGCTACAGTCTCGGCGATGGTGTTCCTTTATCAAGCGAAAGCTGCAGACTTTCGCCGGCTCTGCTGCCAGCACTCGCACAAGCGTTCACCTCAAGATCTGAGGATTAACACGGACAAGCCAGCAGTGGCCGAGACTCTTGGGCCTCCTCGGCAGACTGGGCATTAGCAGAGAGGGACACGGCAGCTTGGCAGGCTCCCTTACCGCCCCGGCTGGCTGCTACTCTGCTGCTGCTGGCGTCGTCAGAGAGATTTTGGGCGGTGGAGGTGGGGGTTGAGCAGAGAGCTGCGAAGCTGAGGGAGGTAGAGGACGAGGCAATGGGGGATTATCTCACTGCAAAATGCACTGTAGGGAGGCCCAGATGGACCAGTGGGCTGTGGTCTGCTGCCATGCCAAGTGTGTGTTACCACACATATATACATGTATATACGGGGACGCCAACAGAAGCACAAAGCACACACACCGAAGACGACATTCATTATGCATCACTGAGTATTAGGTGTTTTGAACCTAATCGCATTACAAACTGTACATAAGGTGTACACACACACACACACACACACACACACACACACACACACAGGCGTTAAAACTCCCACCGGGACGTGTGTCTAATGCAGAGTTTGCACATTTCACCGAAACACATCACAAATAGTTTTAATGCGAGGACGAGAGAGGAGCAGGAGGAGGATAGCGGTGGGTGTCTCCATCTGTTAATCCGAAATGCTCGAATAAAGTTGAAACAAAACAAAAAAAAACGTATGAGCTAATTTCAACACCGGGGCTATCGTGAATCACTCAGAGAGGTTCCGTTTCTGAGACGACAGCGAGCGAGCCGTGAAAATTCGCAGATTCCGGGAAAAAAAAAAAATAACCCGGCTAAAAACCGTTGTGGTGAATTTCACAGACTCCCTGCTTCATCAGCTGTTAGAGTGAATTTGAATGCACCCCCGCGATGATATGATTCTTTTTGTGTAACGGATAAAGAGGATTATATCCCGAGGCGGCACATTGTTGTGTAAGATTGAGGCAATAGCAGGAAATGACACCTCCTCAGTTGCCAAGTGTTTCAAGAGGGATCTGCGGCACCACGCCGCTCTCTAGTCAAACAGCCAAAAGGTACGGCTTCAAACGAAACACAGTCGCACCGATACCGAGGAAGATATTGGCTCACGATTAGAGGCTGTCACTGTGACTCTGCGATCAGCGACACGAGGAGCTGTGCCGTTTATAGTGATGCCCTTGAGCCTGGGATTTCATCACCAAACTGTGTCATCTTGTCCAGGATGCTCACGCAACACAACACGCAATTCTCGTTTTCAAACTGCAGCTTGTGATAGATTATCGATGTTGCGGTCGAGGTTGTTTTCTTCCTGAACTGTGACAGAAGCCTGAGATCCTGAGCGGCGCAGCGGCGCAGCGGCTGCGGCCTCTCGCAGTTTGAAGCTCTGACCTTTAATTATCGTTGTTATTATTATTCCTCATTATGCCTCTGTTTAATTTACAGGGATAGCTGCTGTACTAGTTGGATTCAAGAGTCTTAAAGTTTAAAAGTGGGACATTTTGACCTTTAATTATAGCCCGTCATTGGGTGCGGCTTTATTTTAAAGGTTCAGTTCGACCATTTCACGACGAAGAGGATGTGACTGACCTCACTGTGACCAGCCGGGTCACACAGACGATATATTTCCATTAGAAACAGCTGACTGTGTTTTTTGGGGGATTATGTATCGGAGCCGAGTCTCACTCCTCTGTTGCATCCAGGTGATTCAGACACAGGATCAGTGTCCTCGACAAATGAAAGCAAAGCTCTCGTGGTTATTTGGGTGAACTGACCCTTTAAAATCTACAGGTTTTTATAAAACAGTGGCTCCGTAGAATCTGAAATATCAGATGATATATGCAAATAACCTAATTCATTCCTCGCTGGTGGCGTGTGAGAGATTTTAAATCCCACATTTCCATTTTTTTTTTCCTGCCTGACGTGATTTTCATCTTAGGTTGAGTTTATGATGGTAACCATGGAAACCACTCACCAGCGCCTCTCCGCAGTCGGTATCTCGGCCTCTCCTTTGTCTCCGTGCCACCGTCTTTGTTGTTATTGTGACACGGCGAGTTCTCCTCCCTCAGCTCCAGATCCAGCTCTGATATCGGAGACGTCGCGGGCGAGACCTCACCCTGGCCGCCCTGATGGTTCCCGGTGTTCTCGCTGTGGTTCTTCTCACCGCTCGGCGCTCCCTCCAGGGCCTCGCGCGAGGGTTCCCCACCTCCCTCTTTGTCCGCAGCCGTTCTAGCTTCGGCTTCAGCCTCGGGGTCCGCGTGGTTTGTGGGGCTCGAGGGGTTCGAGGGGCTGCAGCTGCCCAAAGAACCGAGCAACGAGCTGGGGCTGGAGTGCAGGGAGAGGGAGGGGGTGTCTGGTTCTCTGATGGTGGTGCATGGGGCCCCGTAGGGCTCCTGGACAAATCCCACAAACTTCACCCCCTGGTCAGCGGCATCCTGGATCTGCTGTGGGGAGCAAGAAATAAAACAAAAATAAAAAAGCTAGAATGATAATGAAAGATGCTGCTTTTTGATTTGATAAGACCTAAAAGCATCAGACAGATAAATGAAATAAAATCGATCAATTTAATTTTCAATTATTTTGCTTTTCATATATCTTTGGGATTTGGGTCCAGACAAACAATTTTCATTTTAGACACTAAACGATTAGTCCTCTAAACGGTAAATGGACCGGCAAACAAAACTAGATTATTTTTTAGTTGCATCTCCAGATTTGATTGCACATATTGTTGGATGTTTCGGTTGTGAAGCTCGCACTCAGATTTTCGGGTTTGACACATCAGGCAAATGCCAAAAATGCAAAAGAAGAAGCTGTGAAGCAGAACATATTTCCCTCGAGATATCAAGCTGAACCCAAACTTTCAGCAATAGTTTAACATGAGTTATCCAAAAATTGAATTGTTGACTCCTCTGCATCTGTTCGATCTCATTTTTTGTTCCTCTCCAGCAGATTCTCCAATCACACAGCTGCTGATTAGATCGCAGAGGCCGGGACCCTCGTCAGGCCCGGGCCGCATCCCAAATCCATCGCTCCACTTTTATATTCTCTCTCTCTCCGTGTCTTATTGTCATCTGGCATTTTATTGTCAATATTAGGATTCTGCCACAAAGCGAGATTGAAATGTTAACTGTCAGAGAATGTTAATGATGCCATTCTCCATTTCTGCCCCAGCCCACGAGCCGAGGACGCGCGTCTCTCTATCTTGAGCCACAGTGAGGGAGGAGAATAAAAATCAAATCAAATCGCAGGTTATTCACTATGAAATTAAACTGGGAAACAGCCACATTGTTTTGCAGCCATATTGTTTAATATCAGTGAATGCTCTCTGAGTGCTTCCGCGTCATATTCCTCATACCAATATGTTGAAATGGAATTGCAGAGATAAAAGAAAGCAACTGTTGTATCTCATTTAATGGTAATGCAGGCAGTCGGGAGGAGAGATGAATGGCTCTGACTGTCTAATGTCGCTGCACTTGATGGCACAGAAGATTCAAATAGTGGGCTGTAATGATTGGATTTATTTTTAGTGCCGTTATTATTGTATTATTACCATTATTGTTGTTCCATTAAATCTCTTGTATGACAAAGTAGAAACATTCTCACTTTATTCTTTTTTTTTTTCCTACTTTCTGACAACAGAGCAGCATCAAGACAAGCAACACAAATTAGTTTATATAAATGAAAAATAGTCTCAGTTTTACCATACGATCAAAAAATACAAAGTGTTGAAACTATTAGTTATGAAACAAGACTGATGTGGATCCTTTGGGGGCTGATTCTGATGCTAAATTTAGGGGGTAGAACATTTCTGACACAGATATATCAGCCGACATGTAAATTAAAAATAATTCTAATTATGACGTTATTAAAGCACAATGACAAGTAAACGTAGTTTTGACTCAATATTTTACGGTTTAAGCAACTTTATTACGAATAATGAAGAAATGACAAGTACCTAGTTTAGTAAATAATACTTAGTTTGGAAAATAAACACGTTATAAAATAAAACATAAATACACATCTCGTCTGCATTGTTTAATGTTAAAAGTTTTTAATACTGGTATCAACATTAATGCTGAAACCGATATTTCTGTAAAAGGCTAATATTGATCCATGTTTTTCGGGTAAGCGATATGTTTTTTGGGCTATATTAAAAAAAAATATATATATATATATATATATATTTGACTTGCATCATTGAAACTTAAATATGTATGAGATCAAGAGTAAGTGTATTAAATGTCTACAGGCTACATATGACATGTGCATCAGACAATGTGGATTAAGATAAGTTTCAATTAAAAAGTTAAAGACACCAGCAAAACAGAATCTGAAGGACGTTAAGGAGTTGACTATAAATGAGTCCAGTTCTTAGTTACAGTGCCATGTCCCTCATGCACAACTGGGGAATAATAGAATAAATGGAAGATAAAATCAAATTAGTATTCTTCTGAACTCCTCATATTCTCACGCGAGTCGCTGCGGCTCAGAATGAACCAGCTCGGGTCAGAAAAATCAGGTTTCAAGGTCAAAAAATTGAAACTTTGCATCACATCATTTCTGTTCATTAACCCAAATGATGCAGAGCACAAACTTGATGAAAAATATTCAGGAAGTTGCTTCCCTCATTCTGCCACCAGAATATCAAGAGCCCGCAGTGCAAAATAAAAAAAAAACCCATTTCAATTTTGACTTGAGACCACATTTCCTATTTCCCCCGTAAGTTATTAAAGTGGCACCAGGAGAAGGTGTCTGAAGGTCAAGATGAAAACCCCGGAGAGAGAGATTAAGCAAGGCGTAAGGGAGAGTGGGGCGGGAGGAAGACAGGAGGAGAGGCAGAGAGATGGAAGCAGAGATTGAGACAGTGGTGGAGAGAGAGGAAAAGAAAATGAGAGGATGAAAACGGCGATGAAGAAAGAGAAAGAAACAGAAGTGAAAAAGAGGCTGAAGGGAATGGAGTCCTCCGCTCACTCCTCCACCACTCATCCATGTCCACTTTCTTTTTTAATAGATTTCTAGCCTTGCTTCCTCCTCCTCCTCCTCCTCCTCCTCCTCCTCCTCCTCCTCCTGCTCCAGCAGGCCTGTAGCAGCTCAGTAGATTAAAATGATAACCAACAGTAATGAGGTCCTACAGGACTGCGGTTGCATGACTAATCGAAGGGCAAAACGTACAGAAAGGTTCAGGAGTGAGGCTTCAAAGCCCGACACAGCAGTCGGTAATATACAGATTAGGCAGGAGGGGTGGAATCGAGATGACGCAGCGTTAGTGACACACGCGAGACAGGAAGGTGCGTCGGTGTGTCTTTCATCTGAGCTGTCATTTCTACAGCAGCGCATTCATTCAACGCCGATGTCATTTTCACATCAGGGGACGCTGTGATTTCACAACTCTCGTGCTCTCATCTCCTCCATGGATGATGTAGAAAATGATTCGGCTTGCTAATTAAGAGTAGCCTGGACCCATTAGGGAAATATTAGTATATTTCATTCAGGGAGCACTGCAAATCAGCAATATACTGTATTTTAAAATGTGATACGTGCAAATGTTTAATCAGAAATATGTTTACGCAACAAAATTCATTAAGCTGCAAAACCGTAAGTAAAACTATGAGTCGCTTATTTCGTGAAGATATTGAATTCGTACATGTAGATGATCTATTTTGTTGCATGACGTCAAAAACAATATTTAGAATTAGTTTAATCCGGAGTTGCAACACTATTAAAATGCTGTTCAGAATGAATGCATCAGTAATTTAACAACCAAGTTTTTCGACTAATGAAATACTCCAGCCCTGCTGTGTTATTACGTTCACTGAAATCAAAAACCTGAGTCAGACGTCTCCACAGCTCCACTCTAATCAGGTCAGGTGGGGTCCTGTTATAATTCCGAGGGTCTCTTATCTCTCTGTTAATATGTATGATACTCAAAAAGATCCAAGTGGACCTGCTATCACCTCCCTCCATCACTGCAGCAGGGGGAGCGTGCTCCTCAGAGGCGAGCTGGAAAGTGAGAACTGTGAGGAGCAGGATCTTTGTCCCGACACGACTGTGATCTGTTTCTGCTTTGACCCAATCGCTGATCACTTCGGCTCATCAGGAAATGAAGCAGTAGGAGCCAACGTCAACGTGAGAAGCAAGTTTTAAAGCAACAACTGATTCGTACCTGACACAAAAATATACACACGGCCCGTTTTCTTAATGATGTGCGACGTGGCAATTATGTTTAAGAATAAATCCTTTTCACCCGTCACTCCTCTGACGTGGTTCACTGACAACTGTGCTCCGAGCATTTTGTGACAAGCTGCTATTAAGCGTCTTCAGCCCGACAGCCGCGTGCTCACACTTTTAGCCACGTGCTCGATTTGCTGAAATCCGGCAGTAAACAAACATCGTGTTCCCTGGACCTTCAGACGAGGTGACACGCCGAACGAAGCCATTTCAGTTTGGGATCCAACTTAGTTTATATTCTGCACGGAGGAAATGGAGCCCTGAGACACACGTGTTCTTGCTTTAGATGTTCTGACTCAGTATTTGATGTTAGAATCCACATCTCTCCATTTATTTATAAAGACAATTACCATCTTCTCTCTCACTCCCCCCCCTCCCCCCCACCTCCCTTTCTGTTCCCTGCCTCCGGCTGCGCACGAACTGACAAAACCTTCAGCTTGGCATTTGTAAAGCGGCCCCTTACCTTCTTGACGTAGCCCTGGATGAGCTCGGGGGTGGGTACCTGCCCAGCACACAGACACTCCTCCAGCTGCAGTTTGTACGGTGGGCACACCGGCTGGCTCCTTTCCGCCCTGCAGGCACCACAGTGGGGGGGGGGAGAGGACAATGAGTTTCAGCCTGTCAGTCGTGCAGCCCGCTGGACTCAGGATGCACGAGGGTGCCCATGCATTAACACACACACACACGTTCACAAACAGAACTTAAATCAGAACATTATACACGTAAGCATCTGTAAACAGGGCGCTGTTCACACACAGATCTATGATGCCAAAAACAACCCCCTATCAACGAATTACACTGCATCTAGAAGCTTTGTTAATGTTATTGGTGCCCCGTGGGAGGCGGCAGAAAAATACAATAAAACACTTAAGTGAGACAAAGATCCACATGGATGAAAGCAAACACATGGGGAGAACAGAGAGCAGGAAATTCAATGCAGCCGCCCCCTTCCCCTCCCTCAGTCCTCCTCGCTGAGGCCATCAGTATTTTTGAGCCGGGAGAATCTATTTATACGCTGCCGTATTTTTCTATTCTGTCCTCTGGAGGAAATCCCAGAGCGAGCCCCGGGGAGACTAATGCCCCAGCTTCCACCTCTCAGCTTCTCATCCTGTTGACAAGGCGAAGAAGCCTCACACACCCTTTTCCTCAGTGTGCGTGCAGCTACAGTTGATGCTTGTGTTTGTGTGCAAGGCTGTGTGTGTGCGCGAGAGAGTGCTCTGCGTGAGCTCTGACTTTACACGGACACCTGATGTGCAGGAGGCTAAAAGATGCATGCGTGCAAGCTGGCGACTGTGTTCCAGGCTGGGTTTTTTTTTTTTCACCTTCCAGTTTCATGCAAACAGTTTGTCCCTAATGAATTATCACAGGGATTTTTTTTTCCCCCACTGTCACTGGACGCAGATTGAGCTGTTTGTGTATCAGCTTTATTTAACCTGTGCGTAATGTTTCCCCTCCTCGGTCCAGAGTCTTTACGCTGCCACATATTTAGCCTTGGATATAAAAATCAATCTCATCATCTCAGCAAGAAAGAGATTCAAGTATTTCCCGGAATGCTTTCAAGAAAATTACTGACATGTTTCCATTTGTCTTTACATGAACGTTACTTTGCACAATCCCTTCCCTGGCGCTTTTAATATTTCTATATTTACACCACAGAAGATTCCTTGTATGTGTAAACCAATAAACCCTCGATTCTGATTTATTGTTTTTTTTCCCCCATAAAGTACACACCAGACGGATTCAGAAATGAAATGGTTAAAAGCAATGTCACAGGGGAGTTATCTCGACTGTTAGTCCCGACGAAAACACCAGTCCCTGCTTTTTCCCATGATGCAACTCAATAGCCTCTTTCATTAAGCCCTGCCTGCCTGGTTAACACCCATCTTTCAAACTTTAAGCCCCTCGCTCGTCACACAGGCTTTCTCTTACAAAAGTGCAGTCTTAAAAAAGTGCAGTCTCCAAGCCCCTGGAGTGGCTCTTTAAAGTTTGCCCAAACTGATGGGAGTCTGTAGACACAAAAGACCCGTCTGCGTTCACAGGGATCCCCAGAGCAAAGTGAGCGTCTTTGTATCTCCTCACTGTCTCTCTGTTGAGCCTCACCTGTTTTTTTTTAATTCTGTCTTCGTAGATAGAATGTCTGTATTTTTCTCTCTTTGTCGTTTCTGATTTACTTTAAATCCAGACTTGCGTCTTTCTCTCGGTCTTCACGGATCAATTAGCGACCCTGACATCCTCGTCACCACACGACTCTACTGACACGTGTCGAATGGAACTGGGCCGACCGACTTCACACACTCGAGCTGAGAGTCATTCGGTGTGTCTTTTACTTTTCTCACGTGATAAATGATCACACTCACACAACAGAGCTCACCGGGCACGTTTGGGGAATGATGAGGTCTGCAGGTGCTCCTGTGTGCTGCGAATTAAGAGGCGGCTTGGAATGATAATGAAAATGATTCAGCACCATGTGAATTCAGTTTATTTTGAGTTGATCATTCTAAATCTACAAATATAACGAAAGTGCTTCAGTGCTTCGGAGAGATATTTTTAAATTAAGAACTGGCACTTGAGCGTGATCATTCGCTGTCATTTTGTGCCGTGGAATATTCTCAGCACGGAGATGTTGTCACTTCTTTTCATGCGGCGGGTGAATAAGTCCTTTTTGGAGTGAAGCTGAATGGGAGGGAGACTTTCGCTGGCAGAGCATCAGAGAGGAGGGGAGAGGAGGGGAGAGCTGGCTGAGCACAACAATTCACTCGGTCCTGGGGGGGGAGGAGGAGGCCTCGGGTTAAAAATAGCAGCTGCCTCACCTGCGGTCCATCTTCTCTACGTGAAGCGGCGACTCTTCATGCAGCGTGCGGCGCTGGCTGTCAACCTCGGAGGCCTCGCGTGGTTAGACGGGTGTCAAATGCCTTTCTGCCCTCCCGCCCACTGGAGCCCCCTCCCGGGTGAGTACACCTGTTAGACGGCACCCCCTCTTGTCTGCTCACAGATGGGCCACATGCTTTGTTTCGCTGTAGAACATCTCGTGTTGGACTAATCACTCCCCCTGGAGCTGCACGTTCACATGGTAACTGTGCATCACCTGATAATGGCTTGCTTAGGGATTGTTTTATCTGATTGGTGGCTCCATCATTTGTAAACGTGGATCCACTTTGTGCTCATTGGGGTATGGAAGGAGACATATTCCTTTTTTTTTTTTTACAGTGGCACTACAGAAATAGTTTATTTTAATCACGAGGTGTTTGCTTGTTGAATAAATTTATCTTGGTCTTTCTGTTAATTGATTCTCTATGGATGCAGCTCTTTTACTTGCCTGCTCATCACTCATGCTAACTCACACTGCTGCAGACTTTGGTACAGAAGAAAGAAGTTGACTTTCTTTAGAGTTTACGACAAATTGTTTTATAATTTCAACCTTAGAAACTAAGGATCTCCAAATGTGACGCTGTGATAGATAAACCTTTCGTGGCATTAAAGAGTTGAGGCATCTCTAGACTCTTTGGATTTAACTTGTGAGGATTATGTGTCATTTTTCACAACAATCTCTCTAAAAGCATCAGGATGTTCGCCTTAAAAACAAAAATGCCAAGATGACAAAGTATAAAGTGACTTGAATTCTTAGGAGACCACAGACGTCTGTACAAAAATCACACAGTTCTTTAGAAATATTTCTGCTGAGACCAAACAGACCAGACCCTGACACAGAGGCTCAATTAACTCAGCCTTGAAATTGTTCAAATGTCATGTCATTTTCATCAATACTCAGAGACCCAGCCACCTACTGACTTGCAATTAGCTTGCACTTACTCAGACTAGCTTTCAAAGACTTCAGCGCAGGTCCAGTAACGACCCACTCCTTCTGAAAAATCAAACGTGCATCACTCCTGATGCACGGGACCATTTTCAACAGGAAGGAGTCAGATCAGATGTATTTTCATTGCCTGACGGTGACAAAAGTGCACATTCAGTGAAACATTATGAATTATTACTCAGAAAATGACTTGAGAGGAGGTGAATTGCTCTCATCTGATAAAAGCTTTTCTTTTCTTCTATTCTCGGAAGAAAGTCTGAAGCTGAATAAAATTATTCAAATTGTCGTCAATGAACTTTGGTTGAAAATGTTATTTCCCTCCCGTTCTTTTTTCGAATCAGGAACAAAGTTGTTTCAGACCTCCCGCCCGCCTCCATCTTGCACGATTGCTATGACGACAGAGAGCATCTAAACCCATGTTTAGCGCTCTGTCATCACAGAGCTTTAATGTCCCATTTTTACAAATTCATGAATAATTTCACCACGGCAAATCCCTCTAATGGTTTTTTAGTCCGCGCCTTTAATTTCCACCATCTCCATCACCTCCTTTTCTTTCTCTCTCTCTCTCTCTCTCCACCTGTCTCCTCCCTCTCAACCCATCTCTCTTCCTGAGCACACAGGAGCGCCTTGCAATTACCCAATAATGATGAATATATCCCATCAGACATTGCCTGCTGAACTGTAACCCTATTCCATCGCGACCAAATTGAACACTGGGAAATTTGACAGTTGACATTTAAAATTTTCAAACGGTCCAATCCATTCTGTCTGCAATGCAGTTTTTTTTTCTTCTTCTTCTTCTTCTTCCTCTCTCCCGCGGCAGGTTGTAGCCAGGAGACGGTCGCCGCCAGTGACAAATTGCCGTCAAAGGTTTTCTTAAGTTATAACCCACTTAACCAGATGTGTCAGGCGGGTGACAGTGTTTTAACATTTACAGATGACATGCCGCTGTAAGTACACAACCTCTGTGTCGTTCCAGACTGTGCACGGGCTCCTGCAGCATCAACCCCTCCATGTTAAGTGCCTTGTTGGCTGAGCCTTTCACTCTGAGGCTTATACTATAGAGACCTGACTGGGATTGTGTCCACACGCAGACTGTGCATGTTAAATAAAGATGTTTTATGGCTGCTGTACACCAGCCGGCTCCTCTACCTTGTTTTTGTCTTTTACGTACAGTCATGAAAAGAAGTTCGTTTTGGACGGACGGACGAATGTCTGCTCGCTGTCGTGCAATCAGTCCCATTCACTGCAAACCGCCAAACAACTGCCTCCTCATTTCTCTTTTGATTCCAGAGTCTGACAGCAAAAAGGAACAGGAGGGGAGATGCTTTGCTCTTCTTATTTCTCTTCCTTCATTTTTTTCACATTTGGATTCCCCCCGGGCTGGGGCTGTTGCAAGCAGCTGTCTCCACGGTGACAGACGCCAGAGATAAAGTACCGGGCCCTGCTTTTGGCCGGTGCCATGAAAGGACGGTACACTCCTTTACCCTTTTCACTCAATATGTCTCTCTCTCTCCTTTTTTAAAAAAAATATCCCATTCAGCCTCCTTCTGTCTTCCCAGCTCTCTCTACCCGGCTGTGATTCGCTTTTCTGCCTCTCTCCCCCCACGTCGTGTCTTTTTCTCCGGAGCAAGGCAAGTGTGTCTTAAAAAAAAAAGAAGAAAGATATGCAGTCCATTCAGCTGCAGCCTATTCATGCACAATCAATATTTCTGTTCGGTTTTGCAGCGGTCAACGGCGACCGGACTGTTTGCACGAATGTATGTGCGTGACGAAAGTGAACCTGAGGTGTTCTACACAACAGCATGGGAGGTGATTACTAATGGATACAATCTGCAGCAAGGGAAGTGAGATAAGGTGCTCCGCATTCCAACTACATGACCTTCCAAAATGTGGTTGCTGTTTTTTTTTTTTTTTACCCAGCAATAGGTGCAATCCAGTCACCGTGTTTTTTATGCACATTTACGATAAAGTTATTTTCTAGGCTTCTATAAGCATCTGTCGAAAAGGTAAAAGTCACGTTCACTTTGTAAATAAGATACTGTCTTACTCAGAGAGAGTTCAGAGACCGGTACGGGCATGAAACTCTCCCGGTTACATTTATAAATTAACTGTATTTACATTTATGAGTTATAGTCTAAACGTTGCTCTAAAAGTTGGCTTCACTTTGCAGAGTCTACGTCCATTTTTCAGCAACTTAAAATCTGTTGCACGTGTCATTAACTGTGAGCTGATACCTTAGCAATTTCCATTTTGGTTGAAACTAAACATTAGTGCACTGTGATTGTGATGAGGTGTTCAAAACCGACAGTGGAGCTTAAGACACTTTGACGTTGTGGCACCTGATCGTGTTTCTTCTCCTGTCAAACTGTCACTCAAGTTGAAATACCTCCACTCCACTAGACAGCCCTAAAATATACAGAGAGGAGTCGAGAGCATGGCCACTGTTGCATGTCATCCTCCATCTCCGTCTCCATAGCAGCTGATGAAAACACCTCAGGGTCCATGTGGATCAGAAAAGGCAAATTCACTCATTAAAGAAACAGTCGTCTGTAGTTGAGCGTGTCAATGGAACACTGATGCATCAGGGTTCATCATGTAAGGTTGTCACATCTTATACTGAAACACCAACTGATTCTCAGCATCAACACAAGGCTTTGGTTCAAACACTGAAAACTATGTTCAAAATAATCTTGAGAAGAATCCTGTATATCAACATACTAGACCCCAAAACTCAAGAAATCTAAGAAATGTGGAATCTGATTTGGAAAATGATGTTTTTTTTTTTACTACAGACATTCTCAACGAAGTATTTTTAAAGTCAAAAAATGAAAATACAAATTGCAGATGTGAAGACAGAATAGTAAAGCTGATATAATATCAAGTTATCATCAAGAATTTCTCAATATGACTAAAACGTTGAGTTAAATACCAAAACCTACACAATCCTATCTTGCATACTTTTTCTCTCCTCTTGTCCTCGGCCTATTAACACCAAACAACAACTGGCAAAAAGTTTCAAGTCAGCACTTCCAAGTGAAATCATGACAGTTGATATATGACAAGAATCTTTTTTTTAACTTAATGAACAGTTTTAAATGTCAAAACGTTCACCGTAGAAATGACAGATTAAGAGACACTCAAACTCTTCCTGCTGAGGTTGTTTTGGAAAACTGACAAAAAAAGCTTTTTTGAGGACTTGATGTCATACACGGAATAATATATAATTTGAATATATCTTTAAATGAACACTGTCCTGATGAACAAAGTTTTCTGTCGGGTGACTGACAGTAAACAGAAAACATCTCAACGCCTTGCAACGCTCCACTCTGGCAAAATTACAGTAAATAATGATAAAAGTGAAAGTCTCAAATTAAGTTGTCATGTTTTTCTGTGATGAATTATCTCACGCTGTGGTGAAGTGGTTTCTCAGGCTGTAAGACAAAAAGAAGCGGCGCACGGTTTCTTCTGAGGGGAAGAAAACAGAGGATATGTCCAAGAAACACCAGACGAGGGAACAGACACAGAAATATTTAGAGACTTGGCTCTAACCTGAAAACTAATTTTCCTCAGGACACAAGTTTTGCTTTTCTCCTCACAGAAATATAAATTATCAGCACAATCCATTTGTACATAGCAATTAATTGCTTCCGTTTCCCTTTTGACAGTTTTATTTTTAACGCTCTTATCTTTTATTCTTTTGTTTTCTGCCCTGCTTGCATTGAAGTTACCATATTTTACTTTGAAACCTTACATTATCCTTCACAACCCTCCCACAGGGATCCACAAAGTTTCATCTTGTTTCATTTCATCTCAGATTCATCTCAATTCCCTCCGGTCATCGCTCGTCTGCCTCCTGAGTCCGACGCTTCCGTCTCTTTTCATTTTCTGAGAACACCAACAGAAACCCTCGCACCGTAATTCCGTCTTTAGTTTTCATTTTATGTTCCTGGTGTCATTTTTCTAACATGATTACTCTTTGGTTGCAGCAGAACTATCAGCGGCTCTGATTATTACACTCCTTACTCTCGGCTGCTTGTAATATCGGGTATTGGTTTTTTGTTAATGCACTGTCGCTGTGGGTGAGAGCGTTAGCTAAAGGACTGAAATGTCAATGTAGATTAGCGGCAGCGTTCTCACGTTCCTGCTCGGCAGTGAGGAAATTACAGGAAGGGTTTGTTGTTGCTCAGAAATGTGCGGTGAAATCTGCAAAGGAGTTCCAGTCAAAGGATTTATCCAAAGTAATGTCGCTCGTATTAATATACACAACTTGACACGACAAAGTTAATGTTTAAATCTTATGAAAAAAAATTATACAGAGGAGGAGCGATGGGTCTTTTCTTGACACGTTGCGCTCACTCACATTCAGCAAACACACACGTCCAAGCCATGAAAGAAGTACTCAACCGTTTTACATGTAAAAGTACAAACAAACAAGACAAAGTATTCTCAGTGTTCTCAAGTAAAAGTACCATATCAACCCCTCTACATGAGTTAAAGCAGAACTCGGGCTTCAAACCTTTTGACTGTCGTGGTTTTCATTTAAAGTGACTTTACAGTACGTGGTGCTGAATGAGCAGATCGGGTTTCATGACCCCTGAGTTTTCCCAAAGGCCGCCGCGAAGGATTCTGACCACACGAAAAAAAAAAGAAGAGGGATCTCCACCCTCCACTGTCCATCACCGCTCCTCCGTGCCCTTCAAACACACTTGGAGCCGCTCCCAGTTGGCGCCATGCCCCTCACTGAAGTGCACACCCACCCCCTGCAGCTGCCAGTACAGGGGGGGGGGGGGGGGGCGCTCGGTCACAGGGCTGGAGGGCAGATGTAGGGGGCGGCTGTGGCTTTGGGCCATACAGCCGGTTTTTGGCCGGAGCACTGAGGGGACTGGAGATGCAGGACTGAGATTATCGCTGACTCAAGTCCAGTCCAGCTGCCCACACGACAGCTCGCCGAGCCGCGAGCAGATGTGGTGACGCTTTGAAGCGAAAGGTTGAAAAACTGATATGAAATGTTAAATGAACCAGGCTGAGGTGGATGTCATGTTGGAAATATCTCTGCCTCCATGTGACCCCCACAGAAAGAAATAATGTCTGACATAACGCACTGGCCGTAAACAAGTTTAATTATGACATAAACCTTAATGTCACTTGCCGACCGGCCACAGTAGCAATTTGTGCCATTACACACATGAAGATAAAGCAAGATCAGGTTCCAACGACGTGTTTTTTTCTGCATAATGACACCAATTAAGGTGCATTAGTAATCTCAGCATGTTTTCTTAAGTGACTGTAATGGCTTCATCGTTTTGTGATAACACAGGTCGTATCCCCGGGGGTCTCGCTGAGACATCTGAGGCCCCTGAAAGACGAAGGCCTGGCCCCCACCTTTGTTAAGTAGAATGCATTACTTTTAATAGGGGACTTCTTCCTTTATTGGTCACAACCTAGGATTACTCCCTCAAAAGACCTTTTTGAAAGTAACGTTATATATTTATTTATGATTTTTAACTTTTCTAATAGTCTGTGACTCGGTGTAAGTTATGAAATGATCGAATTCATAACATTTGGGTCTAAAAGCAAATCTTTCAAGACACACAAAGAAAAAACGCATTTACACATAATCATAGAGTTAAATATCAGAAGTCTTGTGGCTCTTACCCGTCGTTGACTTGGACCAGTATGGCCCGGTAGAGCTGGTGCGGTGGGCTGTTGGACTCTGGACCACAGGGGTGGACGAACGGGTGAACTGCTGCCAGGACGAAGCCCTGCTGGTAAAGCTCCTGCAGCTGACACGGCAGCTCCCGCACGGACGAGAGATGCAGCGTGGACGTCCCACCTGAGGGACAGAGAGGAAAAGTGTGTGAGACAAAAGTATCCTGTTTCTGGTTTCGCGGTGTTCACACACAGACACAAGTTGCTGCTCGGTGCCGAGCGGCTTTTGTCCTCAACGTTCTGGAGAAAGAATGATGCAGAAATGGCCCCACGGCGACCTTGACCTTTGACCCCTGGCCACCGATGGTGCCAAATTTGAGGAAAGTCCCACGAGCAAGTCCTGAGACGTCCAGTTGATGCTTGAGCTGCAAGTTGTTCCAGAGGAAATGATGCAAGAGCAAAACAGGAAGTGGAGACACTTTCCCGCACGCCAACATCATTTAAAGTTTCACTTTGAAACAAGCAGAGAAATAAACATCCCTGAGTAAAGGTTTTTGTTTGTCCTCTGTCATTCAAATTTCATCGGGCTGCATAAAGATTTACAATTCAGATACCGACACTGATTTTAGATTTTGTCCCAGTTTGTTTTCGCAATTAGCATCACGCTTTTTGCTCCGTCCCCTCAATCTGGGAGTTAATAAGACGGGATCAAAATCCAATCAGAGTTGATTGCTTCGGCTCTGTATCACAGCAGCTCTCTATATTCTGACACTTACTTTGATTCCCTCCGAGCTCGACATAACTGTAGAGCGGACGAGGGCCCGACATTAATGAGCTGCAATCACTGAGTGGACGGCTGCTCTAAAAAAAGCAAACGTTTTAGGGATAGAGTTGTTGTGAAAAGGTCTTTTCTCCGTATGATTTTCTCCCGGTGTCCCTCTGCAGGGGATTGGACCTGCGACGAGCCACAAACAGCCTCTGTTAGGCAACATCAGGGTGGTGGTTCAGGTTCAGGAATAGAAGTGATTAGATTAGAAGGTAATAAAGCGCCTGATAGCGGGAAGAGGACGGGAGAGGAAGATGGTGGAAAGGTCAAATAGGAGAGGAGGAGAGGTAAAGTTAGGGTCAAGACGACGCTTGGCCCTGGATTCATGACGGCTGGGATCCCAGCAGCGCACTGTACGAGGTGACATTCACTGCGGGCCAAACAGCTGGGGTGCGTGGGAGAGCGCCAAGACAAAGAGATGGATGCAGAGACAGAGACAGAGAGAGACAGACGGGGGAGGGGGGGGGAGGGAGGGCAGAGGGGGAGGCGGTGGCGGTCTGGTTGTCTGTACAAGCTGTTACAAGATGTGGGAAATGTGGCTAGGGCTAATTAGAGTCAATGAAACCATACAGAGCCAAAGGTTCAGATCTATGGGAAGAGTACAGAGGTTCAGTCAGAGGTCAGACGGAGGGCGAGTGACGGCGGGTTTGACTGACGCCAGCAAAGCTAACGTAACATCTGTATTGTACACACGGGGTCCGGAGATTCAAAGTATTTCACACTGGGAACACGACGATAACGATGAAAGGATGAAAATCTGCAAAAATCGTTAATAATTTCCAGCTGAGGTTGTCGGGGGGGTAAATCCAGGTCAGTTAGTCACAGTCTGACATCAGGGTGTTGTTGCCCGTTTGATGTTGAAGTCATGTTAATGCGTCCGTGTCGGTGAAGCTGCTCTGCGTCACATGTGTGTAATTTATTACAAACGGTCGGCACAAAGAAAGTGTTTCACGGCGAACGAGCTCCCGTGATAATAACATGTTGCTCTTAAAACATTTATCATTTAGGCGCAAATACAAATACAAAATCAGAGAATAGAGAATAATTCATGGATCTTGATGGAAAAGAATCAGGAACATTTAGAGAACCTGTGGGAGCTTCAGTGGAAAATCAAAAGGTTTAGTTTGTCCAGTCTGGGCTACTGTAGAAAACATGGCAGCCTCCGTAGAGAGGACCTGCTCCTGATGTAAATATTAAGTATTTAAATATAAAGGGCCCATAAAACAATAATTTCGATGATCACACACAAGTGAAAACATCACTGGAATAATTGTATCTTCCATTTATGCCAATAGATCCCTAAATCATCTAAATCTTACTCATGGACCTTTAATAATTTTGCAGAGAATCTGTCTTTCTCTACCCTCTGCTCCTCGCACTTCTTCCCGGCACTTCATTCATTCTGTGCAGAGTGCGGCGCAACGGTGTGGCGTGCTTTCAGCGTGCCGCACCAGCCAATCACCGGCAGCCTCTGAGACGTAGAGAGAGCTGATTCAGTTCGCATCCCAACTCTTCCTTCCAGGCAAAAATCCAGAGGTTCATTATGAAACCACGAAAGAAGAAGAAGAAGGAGAAGAAGAAGAAGAAGGAGAAGATGCTGTCCCCTCAGGGTGAATGAGCGCTTTGGCTAAAAATACTCAAATTTCTCAATCATGCTCTGTCCTATTGCGCCGTAATGCAAGAGCCTTAGAAGTTACGAGGCATGAAGACATTAACACAAAGAAATAGGTCGCTACTGCAAACTGGTTAAGTGTATCCCCCCCCTCCCTCCACCAGTGCCTGCCTGTAGAAATGGAATTAATCCTTCTGTGATCTGTGATTTTGTTTTTTCCCTACGTTCCCTCTTGGTCTCGGTGCAACATAAACATGCCGTCCTTTCCCCAGAGGGATGCGATTGCGTGTGCGCACGGTTCACGAGGCGGTAGATATTAAGTGGAAAATGAACCCGTCTTTGCTTGCTCTCTCATCCCCTTAGTTGAGATGAGTAAATAAGGGATGCTTTCAATTAGGCGGTGGGAACACAGCCGCTGGCGACTTAAGTTGGCTTTAATCGCTGTGTGAGCTGGTATTAATTTTATCCAGAGGCCTTTAAATACACAGGCTCTGCATTTATTTATCGAACCAATTTTTATTTGTCATGCTGCCTCCAGAGCAAAGTGTTGCCCAGTGCTAAGTTTTCCAGAACCTCTTGTTGTTGTAAAGATGTTTACTCTTCCCTAAAATCTTGTTATCCGCGGAGAATCGCTTTGTTGGCGTAGATGAAAGCAAATCAGCTGCCGTAGAACCGCCGCACGTGTCACCGCTGAGGTTTCATGCTGGAAATATTTAGGCCTCTGAAGGAGTCTGGTAAACCTTATGTTGCGAACTGGCAGCCAATTACTTCACTTGGACTTTTAGTTTACTCTGGAAGAAGATTCCTGCACATATCAACAGGAGAGCCCTAAACTCACAGGAACAGATCGCTTCGTGACAAATAATGAGGAAAAAAAAGAGGCTTCGGGCTGACAGCTAACAAATTCGTTTTCGTGAAGAGCAATCGAACGGACACCACCACTAAACACAGGGGGGAAGCTAAGGTGGGGCCATGTATGAGATGAATGCACGGAGAGAGAGCGATGCTAATGGGATGATCCACGATCAGCTGGTCACTGTTTGTGGCGGAGAACAGGTCGTGGGTCAGAATAACTGTTGTGTTGTTTATGATAAATACCTGCAGGAATATTCAGTCCAGAAAACCCTGAAGCCACCGCTGCTGCACAAAGAGCTGTTCACATGTTTATTCAGAGTTAGGAGAAGCTCAGCTGAGGACGCACAACCTGAGCTGACCTGCTGTGGTTGTGAAGGAGCTGAGATGAGTCCTCGCCACCGGTGGAGAAGTGGTTTAAATTTAACGTTAACATTCGACACCGCAACTTTCTTGGGGCCCTTCACAGGAAATATTTTACTCCAATATCAGTTTTAGGTGAGTGAAAACAGGTTTCTAAAAATAATAAGATCGGAAATGCAGAAGAATAAAAGTGAATGATATAAAACAAAAACACAATAACGTTCTCAAATACTGCAGGTAAACAGTGAGTGTGTGTGTGTGTGTTTGAACAAAGAGGGAGACGACGAGGAGAGAGTGTCAGCGAGTCTCAACATTCGGTTCAGAGTGAGGATGTAAACATGCAGTTTTTAATATGCATGCCTGAGAGGGTTCATCTCAGGAGCAGAATAAATAATAAACATCCCATTCATTCCTCTGACCTTCCACACATGGCCACACATATTTAACTGACTCACCACATGGGATGAGAAGTGGCCCCTCGTTCCACGTGTCTCATTTCTGGATGAAATCCATTTATGATTCAATAGACCTGTATTTACACCAACAAATGTGATCGCGTCTGTCTGTGTTTTCTCTTCCCCCCCCCCCCCCCCCGTGTGAATCATTCTGTCCACAAACAGTCCAAGTCCAGGGGGTGGAAATGTAACTGAAGCTATTTGAAAAAAAATTATAGAGCAGAGATCAGGAGGAGGAGGAGGAGGAGAAGAAAAGGACGGGAAATAAAAGAAAGAAAGAAAGAAAAAGTACCATCATGACCCATCTACAGAGGGGAGACCCCAGGAAGTGGCTTCTGTTTGTTACACACCAAACACTGACACACTTTTTAATGTTTCCAACATCAGCACATTTTAAAACTTCTTCCAACTCATTTTCAAAACTTGAAATCAGCAGGCGTTCAGACTGAAAATGGTTCTGCACTGAAACACATCAAGGGGGCTGGTGGACATCTGTCGCTTCAGGCTAAAAATGCAGAACATACAAAACCAAAGAGTCCAGTTAGAGACACGAGAGTGAAAACAGGCTTGAGGTAAACGTTGTACATACAGTGTTTGCATGTATTTCAATGGGCCTGTGCTGCAGCTTGCCAGACGATGCGCCATGACTCAGCAAAGTGTCCTCACACCTGACGTCCAATCTGCTTAAGACACTGAACTGAGTGTAAATGAGTTAACGTGCAAATTATTGGCAGCTCATCGCTCTGCGGGGACGTCTCCACACACATAGCTCATTCTGTTCCCCCAAATAAATACAGAATGACGTCAAGATAAAAGCTTTGTGACTGTGAGGCTTGCGGTTCGTATCCTCAGAAAACTCTTAGAAAACAAAATGAATAGAAGCACTGTTCACTGTCTCAGAAAGTCTGCCCTTGAGCAGGGCACCAAAGCCCCAAACAGGACAAGTGTAGTTTTCGTCCTGAACAGGCGGCACAGTGAGACGCAGTGTATGCTCACGCTGCTTCCCGTGGATAATTCTCTCTTTCCATGAATAATAAAAGAAACAGGATCCTTCAACTTTGAATCGAAATCCTGCC